GTTTAAGAAAGGACTTGTATCGCTGAAGTTCCTCGGAAAGAATTTATACCAGAAATTAACAAACGACCAGATACGTAACAATACGATAAACATTCCTGATTTCAGACAATATACTTATGGGGCTCTGAGCCAAATATTTTGTTTTTGTGCCTTGGGGCCCCCAGTAATCTAATCCGGCACTGATTCAATAGTGATTATTTCAGTGAAACTTTAGGCTGAGTGAACATAGTAGGTTTGAAAAGGTTAATAAACTTTTCAAAAACAAAAGGGAATTCTCAATAGCCGCGTCACCTGAAATTCTTTTAGGTAGGATTAGAGTAAATTAATCTATGAGACCTTGGACGTGGTCAGATATACCAATATAAAGGGTTTGACCTCCTGAGTCCAAAACTGTAATTAGATCTAAAATCGGTCAAGAGAAGATGGACCTATGAACCAAACGTTTGTACTCATTCTGTGAGCCGCTATGCCACGGCTAGTAAAAGGAGACGACGTTTCGACTTCTATAATGAGGCCTTCAATGTAGAATCTAAAATGTCGTCTCCTTTTCTTTCAACAGGCAGTTGCAGTCAATTAAAGCTCTCAAACCTAATACTGATTTATTTGTGTTTTCATGACAATGTATGTGACAAGTCGTGAAAGTACAGTTTTTATATATTCTATAAGAAAATATGTATTTTGTTTACAGTTTTGGACTCTGGAAATCAAACCCTTTATATTGATGTATTAGACCACGCCTAAGGTCTCGTAGATTAATTTACTCTAATACTGCTTACAATAATGCCAAGTGTCGCGGCTATTTAGAGTTCTCTTTTGTTTAAGTTGAAACGTGTATGACTGGATATAAGTTTCATGTAAGAAATTGAAAAGGAATAATTACGAAATATTTTAACTTCATGTAATAGTGTACGATATATTTTATTATTTTACCTTGTTGCCCGGCATTGCCAGGAGGTTAGGGCGCTCGACTACGGGTTCGAATACCCGTCCCATCAAACATGCTCGCCCTTTTAGCTGTGAGTCCGTTATAATATTACGGTCAATCCCACTATTCGATGGTAAAAGAGTAGCCCAAGAGTTGGCGGTGGGTGGTGGTGATGACTAGCTGCCTACCCTCTAATCTTTCACTGCTAAATTAGGGACGGCTAGCGCAGATAGCCCTCGTGTAGCTTTGCGCGAAATTCATAACAAACTGAAAACAATTATTCTAAATAGTGAGTTTTTAATTTCGTTACATTGCCCGAACATTTTGTTTTGTTTGGCAAAGCCACATTGGGCTATCTTGGACGTGCACCGCGATGAATCGAACCCCGAATTTTAGCATTGTAGGTCTGTAAACTTACCGCCGTCTCACTTGGAAACACTGTTCATTCTTATTACGCACCCCAGTGGCACAACGGTATGTCTGCGGACTTACAATGCTAGAAACCGGGTTTCGATACCCGTGGTGGGCAGAGCACAGATAGCCCTTGTGTAGCTTTGTGCATAATTAGAAACAAAGTTAATTTAAATCAATGTTAAATGTCAAACACCTTATGAAGCACGTTGAGTGTGGTTATAAATATTTAACAAAGAGGATAATGTTTTATTTCAGTCGTTTACTCAGTGATTTTTGTTACCAAGGCTTTGTCACCAGGGGCTTTAATATTCTATGTGAAAAAGTAGCTTAACACCACTTAAAGATAATTGAAATGGAATTTTCAACCTGAATGGCGCTTAAGCGCACGTGGATTAAAGGCAACATCAGAGACCCCTAGGGTTCAAGTATAGCCGTCCCTAATATTGAACTACAAACCAGACTGAAGGGAGTCAATCAGCATTACCCGCCGCCACCGGAGCTTTGGTCTGTTCTTTGAACCCAATAACAGGATTGACTTTCCACAGCTGAGAGTGCTAAGCCTATTCAGCAGCATTACGTCTAGAATCCCGAACCTTTCTACCTACAGCTCGACACTTTAACCATTAAGTCATGTTCGGCCCAAGGATAATTGAAAAGTTATCAATACAATACTAAAGTCTAAACCTGAATTCTTTAACTTGTACTAATACAAAGTTAGTAATTATTAAACTGAATACAAGTGAATGCTGTTAATTAAACTTATTTTTAGTGATTGTTCGTATTCAACTGTAGTAGTTAAATGTTTCAAATGTCTTTGAGCAGGCTTGGCTGGGAGAAATCAGTGAATACGCTCATGATGACGTAGTAATTATGTTGATAGGCAACAAGGCGGACATGAAGGAAGAACGTCAAGTAAAGTATGAGGATGGAGAAAGACTGGCTGCGGTAAAATTTATTTTTTTCCCTCATACCATATAATATGAATACTTAGACTCTTGACATTTTTGCGGCATAAATATTATAGATAGTTTTATTACTCAGATACTTTTGATTGCATTTAATTTATGTTACACATGCATACGTTCACGTATTTTACAGGAGTATGAAGTGGCTTTCATGGAGACGAGTGCAAAATCGGGTATGAACGTGGAACTTGCTTTTCAAGCCGTTGCTAGGTAACAACTTTCGATTGTCGCCGTTATTAGCCTTATTGAAAGTTAGGTTATTTGTAGAAGTAACTGATGTTAACCGTTACAACAATATCTCAGTGTCACAACGTTTGTCTATAATTCTACATAACTAACAGATAAATTAATTGCAAAAAAATGTATATTTCTTAATTTTTATCACAAAACCTGGTAACAAACTACTATTAACAATTTAGATTTAATTATAAAACTTGAGTTTTTTTATGTGTTGTGACAGCCATTATTAATTATTGGTCATAATGAAGTAATTTACAAAATGTTCACTATTTACGTATAACGTTAGTGTTTTATATACACGTATATATTATTATGGTTTTCCTACACACAAACAAAACAATCCTATACTACCCCAGATCTTTCTTGTTGTTGTTTCATTTTCTTACTGTTGCCTGGCGGCTTCACCAGGAACATAATTTTTTGTGATTAAGCACGATGAAGCCGCCAGGAGAAACAATGAATAATACATGAAACAAAATTCACCGTTTAGTAACAAATATAACTATAATATTGTGTTATAGAATATTTAATACGATTACATTATTATTGTATCTTTTTATAATTAAAGAGAACTGAAATATCGAAAAATGAGAAATCCTGACGACCCGAAGTTCAGCGTAACAGAATATGTCAAACATGAAAGTCAAAAAAATGCCAGCGGCTGTTGCAGCTAAGGCTGAACAAAACAGTGCCACCTAGTGGTGACAAATGGCTTCCAGTGACGTGGGCGCCTGAGAAACTGCTATGTTGTGTAAATGAATGTTGTTAATTATAGTTGTGTTCTGTATATCTGAAAATGGACAATTATGTAATCCCCAACACGTCTCTCATCACAAAGTACAAAGAAATGTAAAAAGACTGAAATCCTGTACTTTACCATTAAAAACTCGTCAGATGAGACTTTTGAAACTAGAAGCCGTATATGTTCTCTTTATTGTGGCCTTTAAAATCCTTCAAGGATTCTAGTTAGGCTTTGCTGATGAGAAGAAGGTCCTTGTAGTGAGCTCGTCAGAAAAAATATTCTGGATTCTAATCTAACAGCTTTTCTGTGTTTGTTGTATTTTACGTCTCTTTAAGACTATATATAATGTTGTCATGACAACAAAAAGTAAGTGTTTGTTTGAAAAACGTACTAATTGATAGTGTACAGTTTCAAAGTTAATGTTGAAATGGGTAGTAAATGAGTTTTCGATCTATTTCTTTGTATCCTCAAATACGCGTCGTCTACTCACCAAAAAGGTTCCCCATTTCAACAACAACTTTCAATAGAAATTAAAACTCTCCGCTGCTTAAAACGCCACTTCACAAACTAATATACGTGAAAGGATAAATAAAGAATTAATGAAATATACATTATAATTTCTGAAATGCTTGACCCACTAAAACTTAAGTTTTTAATTCTTTATCTTAGATAAAAATTCATACAACTGGATATTATAATACAGTGGAGGGTAGGGAAAATTAGTGCTGCTTTACCCATTAGTTACGGTTTGTTTTAATTGTTATATTTGTGTTTGTTTGTTCTTGTTTTTTCCGCAATCTTAGGTGACATTTTTAGATTATACTTCGATATAATATTTTGTTACACATACACACATATATATATATTGAAAAGTATAGATTTTACACTGTTTATAAACTACCCACCGTGGCGGCGCCAGCACTCCAAATTTGTGGGGAGGGGGCAAGTAGGGGACAAGCCAAAATTTTGTGGGACAAAATAAGACATCTTGTACTCACGTGTACTTTTAAAGGGACTCGTTATTCCCCCCATATTTTAGCGTGCTAAATTAGATTGAGCCAACGTTGGGCTTCAATATATACTTTATATTGAGCTTTGAAACCCCCAAATTACTCGCAGATCTTGGAAAGGACCAGAAGGTTTTTGACCATTGTAGCGTATCTAGCAATGTTTTGGGGGAGGGATAACAAGTCCCTTTAAAAGTTAATTGAGAAATAATGATCTTTTGAGCATTATTTAATTACATAAATAATTATTTAGTGCAATAGTACCATTAGTATATAAAAGTAGGGTTAACGGGAATACCTGTTATTGTAGGATATATTTGGTTGACTTCTAGTATACAAGAAAAATAACAACACGTAAAACGGTTGTGCGCGTGCGAACGTATTTTCTTGTTATAAACATTACATTTGCTCTATGTATGTAGGATTGAATTGGCGGGGGGGGGGGGTCGAAAAGAAAATTTTGAGTGGGCAAATACCCCGCCACTGATTACTCAGTATAGGAAATATGACGTTCGGCTCTCTTTTCTAGTTCTAGCAAACATAAAGCTGGATAAGAACTGTTTATGAGATTGAAATGGGACTAAAACATTTCATAGTTCAGTCTCAGTCGCCATGAAATTATTCTCAGGTAAATTGGTGGAGATCTGTTTCTGTAAACTTGTAGTTAAATTTATACTCTCGATCCCAGGTCTAATATAATACAGTCATAAAAAATAAACGGTAAAATACGTAGAATTACGTCTTTAATTTTTAAACGGACGTCACCACGTTGTGTTATGTATATTTTGCATTTCTCTTCGGAAAAAAAAGAATAGTAAGACCATCGAAAATGTTTACGCGGTGTAAAATTTGAAGATTTCTGTTCGTGTGGAGCTGTTTCTAAACTAGTGAACATGTTATGTACTACATTCTGTAACACACTAGTGAATGTACCCGCGTTTCAAGTGCCATTTATTTCATTGGCTTCGCGGAAAAAGCGAGCCGTCGTTCATGTAGGTCTATTGAATACTGGCTGTCAGCAAGGGTACCTGTACTACGCACTATTTAAACGTCATTTTCGTTTGCCGGCGGTTTCACATTGTAAAAAATGAAATAGTTTTGTGACGTCTGGACGCCAAAGTCGAACTGCTCATCTGATTGCTTCTCCATTTAAACCCGATCTTCGGTAGCGTCTACCAGAGTTCTTCTACCAAACTTCATCGAAATTGGTCAGGCGGTGTTGACAACAACATGTGACGTCAAGACGTCAAAAAGACGGGCGACTCTGCTTTATACATATATGTATTATTAACCTTCAATTGATGAAGCGTGGTCTGTGTTAGAGCAGACAATATGATGAAACAGATGTGGTTAAGACTAATGTATTAGCCTCAGTGTTAGTAGTGCACAGTTTGTTCATGTATTCTAAACAAACTTCATAATCGATGTTGCTAGGTAACGGTGTTTTTGTTTTGTTGGTCTTTTTTTTTGCCATTAACTATATTTTAATCTAAGCAATTAACAGCTATATCATACCTGTAATGTTTGGGAATACTTACCCCAAGAAAAACAGATGTTAAGGTTTTGAATTTATCTCCGTATCCGAATAACTAGTAGCTATGTTAACATTTACACTTGCATATTTTTTGATCAGTTCTAACAATTCTAGAAGAAAACCGAATAAACTTTGACTCTGAATCATAAACGGGAAAAATGGGCTAAAAGGTTCTTGATATTCTCAAGTATATTTTTATCAATATTTTATAAAGTTTAGTAATATCGAAAGAGTCACAGTTGTCAGCAAAATGAGTTTCTGTGATAAATGCTTGTTTCTATGAGATTAGAAATTAACACACGCTGTTTGTTGTTTGATAATGTCATATCAAAGGATATCATGTTAAATCATTCTGACCATAGGATATATAGTTAAAAAGTTTTTATATCTTTACGCCATCTATTGGTATTGAAACATAATAGTTTAATTATTTAATGTTTTAGATGGTATGTGCATACTCAGGCGTTTCTTTATAACACAAACTTCTAAATTATTGCATTAATGGGTAATATTGATAATTAATTAAATAGAATCAGCTACAAAAGGTAACACCCGCATATGAAATACTTAACTGTAAAACTTGTACCCCCTTTTACCAAATTGTTCATAATTTCCATCATTTGTCTAGTTCAATCAGTTGGTTATGGATAGTTTACACTTTCATATTTTGTGGTACCTATTTATTTTAATAGCCCACAGTTTACCCTTTTTATCGATTTAGACACTGAATCTCTGGCTTTTGTGTTACTAAATTGTTCTAAAGTTTGTTTCATTTTCTTGGTGAGCTTATAACATTTGTTTGGAAAAAATATGATCGCGAACATTATATTCTTACGACATGGCTGAACGTTAAGTACAATATATATAAATGTTTACATGTTTTTCGTCTTTATTCTATATAAGGAAATTTAAATTATAGTAATTATTACTGAAATCAAGTATTTTTACTTTTCTTGATATTGCTGGTTACACTAATGGCCGACAAGTGTCGTGATTAGTAATCCAAGTACAGCGATTTAAAAATCTCTATTTTGTGATTGTATCGGGAACTAGTACCCTTAAATAACTTTAAATTGTACTTGATATTTATTCTGTGATTGTGTCGAATAAATGTGTACCTTTACGATGACCTTGCATGATAAGTTGAGAGAAATGTTAGTATAAATTTCATATTTTATAGGTAGTTGTCTATAGAGAATAATCAGGCTTAACGTGGCCAATAGTGACTTTACCACTCACGAAGCATCACGACAAACCATAACACTAGTGCGTCACCATATTATTGAAGAACGTCATACGATTGGTTGTAATTTAGCCTAAGAATGTTAAAAGTTACAAAGTTGGGAACATATAGTATTTAATTGGAATTATTAAAAGCTTGTGTTTCATGATGACACAATTGTTATATTCTTGTTTTCTGTATTTGAAATTTAAAAAGTAGAATTTGTATATGAATGAGTTCCAATAAATAATCAAGTTGTGAATAAACATATCTAATGTTTCACTAATGGCTGTGTTTCAACATTTGAAAACTATTTTTTCACCATGCAACGTTAACAGTATCGTAATTTAGAACAAAAAAATACAGGATAGCCCAAACTTATCATTCCTATTTTAAAATTTAATAGTTAACTAACTAAGGAAATACATCTATGCAGTTTCAACATATTGTATATCACCTCAAACGTTTTTTATTGTCATGTTTTTTTGTCTTTTGTTGTTGTTTGCACTTCAGTGAGTTGTGTTACCCCGTAAATGGCAATCATGCAAAAATAGACTCGATGTGTCGTTTGGCTTGCAGAGACGAAAGTTAGTGACTGTGGTGCCGTGTAGTTACAGATACCAGTACAGGAAAGAAGTATGGGGGTATGTTAAGGATATCGTGTTCGCCCACCTATAGAAAACATCGCGGAATTATAGACCAGGATAACACACGCCATCGCCACGAACGTGGACTGAAATCGAATATCGGTTAGGCGTTCTTAGAGCCACTAATAGTGCACGCGTAGAAGTCTACTTGCATGTCAATAAATACTGTTTGAGTTTGGCTACAGTATGTTGAAAACTACATGGTTATATTTCTTTAGTCATTTAATTATTAAATTTTAAAATAGGAATGACAATTTTGGACCACCCTGTATATATACATAATTATAAAAACGTTTAATTGAAGTTTTAGTATTTCCACACACACAATCTAAAAATTATGACAACCATTCTTCATTTTATACTCTATAGGACACCACCAGTCACAAAAAATAATCATATTTTTCTGTTAGTTCAATGCCATAAAAAATACTACTATTACGTCTCTGGTCGTTAGTTAATTTCCCGTATAGTTTCTTTCCGATGAAACTTTAGCGACACAAGTCCATTCTTAAATAAAACTGGTTTATTCTTTCTGAATACAACTTTGCTCGACTCAATCGTCAGTCTCTCTCTGTCTGCAGTTCAATTACATTGTTGCCGTCAGTTCTTGGCGGTCTTATATTCAAGAATACCGTACATCTAGTAACCACTCGAGGCTTCAAGAAGGGACATGAATTTTCTAGAAGCGCATGACGTGTTACTAGCGTCACATGACCTCCAATGTCGTAACACTGCCCCTTCCTTAGTGTTGTTCGTCCCGAACAATAGCCACTTGCATTAAACCAATAAATAACTAACAATAACTTAATTAAATGTATAGAATTTATAAACACAAAATTAA